GTACAAAATCGCCGACATCCCATCAAAACACTTGCTAATTTTGATACACGCGTTTCAACGGCATGTTGGCAAACTTGTACAGATCAGTGAAACAATGCCCAGGGTATTAACATTTTCTGGGGTTAAAGTGTCGAAGGAAAAATTGGTCAGTCGCTTGATATGTTATCCATGAAAACGTCCTTGTAAAGACTGGCATGATCATGACGTTTATAACGTCCAGTTTTTCATTTTCAGAATTCTTGGTAATGTTTATTTAGCAGGTGCTTCGACTATTAGAAATATTTATAAACCATTATATATTCTGAAGAAAGGTGATTATCTATACCTTTAGCAATTGTCATTTTCAAAGTTCTTCAAATACAAACAATACCTTGGAGATAGATTTATCTAAAACTAATCGATAGAGGTATGTCCTGCACAAGTTATTATCAGTGTTCTTATCTCGGTGACGGCTTTAAATCAGTATGTTGATTGTAATTTACTTTTTTAAGACTAATATGCTTTTTGTTCTTGTGTTATTATATTATGCGAAGTAGTTCGTTGGTGGGATACATCCATACATTCAGTCATGAGTACAACTGACGTGCAGTTGAAACGCTGATCAGGGTCCCTGGAACATAATTACATATCAAAGGGAGAAGTGGAGAGACAGAGAGAGACAGAGAGAGAGAAAGAGAGTGAGAGAGAAGGGGAGGGGTATATTGGTATCGTGATCGAGTGGTTTTAATAATCACCTCACTGGAAATGAAAATGTGGGAGGTTCAAGCTCCGGCACGGCACGTATGTCCTTGAGCAAGACATTCTACATGGAATAGTTATTGCATTGAGTCACCGGGTAAAAGCGTTTCGCTCGCTTGTAAACACAAAACGCCTTATCAGAAACATCCAGTTATTGTTAATATTAATAGTGTTATAATATAGTATTAATGACTGCTTTGAGAGAAATAGTTGTTTTTATACGCTCAAGGGAAGGTTAGAATTGTGCTATTACCCGAGGCGTGCCGAGGGGAATAGCCCAATTGTAACCTTCCCGAGAGCGTATAAAAACAACTATTTCTCGAATATTAAAGCAGTCATTAATACTTTTATATGCCGGAAAAAAAAGAAAAAGAAAAAGAAAAAAAAAAAACTTTTGTCGAAGATGGGATTCGAACTCTTACGTACCAAAGGTGGTGTTACTAAAGTCAGCGCTTTAAACCGTTCGGCCAGCGCGCTCTGTCACCTTGCACAGTAGTTTTCTTTAATATATTCATTAAAATGAATTGAAAACGGCTTCGCGTGGTCGATGCTTCGCCGCTGCTCCATTAAACGGGCCCTTCTTTTACTTTTGCAATGCATATTGGCACGAACTTAGATCAAGATCTATCGGCAGATGTTGTTTTTTTGTTTTTGGAAGTTTATTTTCATCTTCATGTCAACAATGCAAGATAAAATTGTCGGTAAGATCGATCGAGATTCAATTGTATTGAAATTACCGACCAATTCTTCGCACACGTACGGTATCCTCGATCGCTCAGACCATTTTTTAACATGTAAACCTATGGGGTAACCATGGAGACTGACCTATTTTCCCAATAACCATGGTTATTGGGATTTTGAACTGTTTTTTAACCATGGTTACCGGGAATTTTCGGGAACAGTTAAAGTTTATGAATGCAATTTCGACCAATCAGATTGCTGGATTACTTAAGTGAGGTATATAATTAATACTATTACTTTTATTATTAACATTGCTGTCATCATAATTATGACTATTACTATTATCATGACAACCATCATCGTCATTAGTATTACCATGGCAACACAACAACTCTGAGAATGAAAAATAATATATTTCCAATGAAAATATTTTAATATATGTTGAAGGGAGAGTTGAGTTCTGTTGCAGAGGGCACTACACAAAATATTTTGTGTGGGATAAAGAAAAATGGAGTGTCAAGTTTGAAAGAACGTACAATTTAAATGACAAAATCATCGCTGTTTGATCAGAATCGTTTCAGAGACGGCTGAAATATCCATAAATATAACAATTTCTAATACTTGTGTAGTGCCGTTTCGCGTCTGAGGAGCAATCCTACAAGGTGGCTCAATAAAAAAAAGGAATAGTATACCTACGTCAGGCACAGTTTACCGGTTTCAATAGATAGGCCTATAACTTTTTAAGAAAAATGATGCCACATTTACCAACATTGGTTGAGTACATGTTATTCTAGCCGCATTATTGTGGCACAATATTCATATTCTCAATGGCAGTGCTCTTTGCACAAAATGACGTATCATTTGAAAGTAACTTCAGCCATGGTATTATGCCTGAGCAATGGGGAACCTGTAATAAAGGTCAGATTTAAGAAAAACGTAACATTCCACATACACTTTTCTTTATTCATTCGTTTTTAATGACTTCTTCACTCTTTACTCCAAAACTTGGCTAAATTCGCTTACTAAATTTGTTTATTAGTTTGATTTCATATCCCCATAAAAAGTAATATACAAACAAGGTAAATTACCAAAAGTATTTAAAAAACATATATAATCATACCATAATATAAATCAATTAAATCATCATACCTTTCAAAAAACACATATTTGAAATATCAAATTCAAAATTGAAAAAAAATGTAGGAGACCGCCATCTTAAGCTAAAGCTTGAACTTGCTGGCGGCCTCAGGAAATAAGCCTATGTTATCAAATAAGTATTAAAAAACGGAATCATGTACATTTTAAAGGAGATATAGCTATGGAATACTCCTCGTCCTCTCCCGCCCCCTGTTTGATTATACAAGACTTACCCTTGGTTCAAAAATTCTCCATTCCCAAACCCCAGTGCTCCTATACTATGACCCAGCTTCCCTGTATTCATTACCTCCTATGCTTCAGTACTATGTCTCCATACCTTAATATTACAAAATTTCGATTTTCCTATACTATGTAGCAATACATCTTTATATTCCCGCACCACTATGTTATAATACCATGTCCCAATACCTCAATATTACAAAAAGGTCAATTTTCTAATACTATGTACAACGAAAATGTCACAGAACTACAACGTTCCAATATCCCATCTCAAACCCATGCTTTTTTATAGCATGCCACAACACCCCTGTATTATAAGAACAACAAAAAAGAAGGAAACGTAAAATGGTCCTACACTAAAAATACCTCTTATTACAATACCCTTTAGTTTCAATACTGTGTCCTGAAACACCAAAATACCCAATACCATTTAGTTCTAATACTATGCTTCATTACCACTACATTACCAAAACAAAAAATACAAAAATAAAATTAGAACACAACTTAGATCCCTTACTACTGTATGTAGTAACACCTCTATATTACAAAAAAAATATCCTATATACATCTTACAGCGTCATTAGAAGGACATATGAAGTTTGAAAAAATGAGTCATCAAGTAGACCTGCCCTTTACGAACTTTTGCAGGCAGAGGAAACTTAATGGCCTCCCAAGAAACAACAGATTAAATCATTAGTCATTAGTTTAATTAGAATAGGGTTAGGGATAGGGTAATATACCAGTTGTTATGATGTGCCGTTAATGTACCATTTAGGGTTATATATATACATGTCCTGGTAATACAACATGAACGGTTATATATACATGTATTACACTAATATGACGCAAGATATTTTTTTTCATAATGTACAAGAATTTTAACAATTCGATATATGTTTTTTTCAATTACCAAACACTTATTTCAGAGCCTAAATCTTCCAATGCTATGCCCCCCCCCCCAACAACAACAGCCATAAACTCTCTATGTTCTAACAATACTAGGCCCAAAGGACCTTTGTCTTTTAAAAAAAAATACCCAATATGCTTGTACTCCAATACTAGTTTGCATCCGCATGAAATCGTTTGAAATCCGCATTTCTACATAATCATTGTCCAATCTGTTTTTGAAATTGCGGCTGCTTTACTTCACCGCTATCGTCTTTAAATAAATCTAATGCATTTTTCTTCTCCTTCTTTCTTCCTTCCAATTATCAATGGGGATGGGATCAAACTTTTGCACTGGATGAGTGCACATTTAGGCCTGCTTATTACTAAAATGAAAGACAATGCTGGGTTTATGCTTTAGTTAAAAAACCGTATTTAACAAAGGAAGTTAGTCTTTGGTCGAAGATTTCCTTTCAGCCAGAGACAAATTTTGAAAACCCAACACAAGTGAACAACAAGCGTGAATACATTCCACCTAAACATGATACCAAATGATTTGGGATAAAACACTCTTTCATAAGATGTATAATAATTTACTGTTCATAGATGACTTTTAAAATAATGAGCAATTTTCTAGGTGTAAACTTTTTGTTTGACTCACACGGTAGTAGTGAGTGGGTTTTTGTATGTCTGTCAGACATGACAATCCTGGCGCTCCCCAATTATTACCCTGGCTTTAGCATGGCTCCCAATTTTATGGTGTTCTAGAATTTTAAGGATCAATTCCTGCCAGTTAGCCATTTACCCCACCTTCAAATGGCAGTGGGTCGACTGCGACAAAAATAAGATTTATGTTTAGGTAAAAAGTGCTCGATTTTCCGAAGTTGTGTCTGACTGCCTTCCTTAAAGATAAAGGTGAATTCTGGTCATCCGATTGATTTGTAAAAAGAAAAGGTGTGAAATCGATCATAAAAGGTTGATCATGTAGCATGTATTAGTGTGCACTGCAAAGTTCTGGAGTCATCAAAAACATAATTTTTTTAGCCCAGTCTTGGTAAAGTAACAAGCACTGCAAACAAAAAGATGTATATGGGACTGCACAAATGGTGTCGGGGCTACCAACCTTGATTTCCTAATCCTGATATGCTCATTACTCAGCCAGTATACATTTTCTACCAAAATTGTTTGGCAAATGAATTTTATTTGTAATCTTGAACATTCAGTGTAAGTTTCGTTTGATTCTGTGAGAATTTATTTTCTTTTTTCTACCAGAACTCACCTTTATCTTTAAACACGATCTAAGACCGGAAATTAGATTTTTACTGAGTTATGGATCTTAGCATTGTTTCATATCTGGGTTGATCTTCACGGGAGTCCCTTTGTGCTCCTGCTTTGCCATCGACTAGGTTAGTATCATAAATGTGACCAATACTATTTGGATTAGATATACCGGAGTAATAATGCTGGTCTTCGTCCATGTCCATGTAGATAGGGTGTTGCGGTACATGTGGGAGGGGCCCACGTTCCTGTGGCTCTGGAATATTCCCATTATTGACTTGACGTTGCTTCCTTCGTTTTATATATCTGCATTAATAATAAACCAAGTTGACTGCGTTAATGTTTTAACTTCTTAAACATGGGGATAATCAAATCATACACGTGCAAAGAGAAATCCAAACTTTGAAATGAGTTTATTTGTATGGAAGCAGAAAACAAAAGAGATAGAATAGAGGAATTTGAAATAAATCAGTTATATGATCAAGAGTTAAGAATGTTTGAAATATGAAATTACTACATCTGAGCAAATCTCAGTTCTTTTCTACTTTCTTTCAAATCTGGATTCGATTATCTTTAAGCTTTAATGCTCCTTTTCGTATATGCTAGTATCAGGATTGTTCTAACGATAAAAATAACAGTAACGCTAATGATTTTATTACGAGTATTAATACCATTTGTTGTTGTTATTGAAAAGAATACAAGAGGTTTCATTTGAAAAGGTGGTATCATTCGGGAATACCATGGAATATAGATAGGTTCATCCACTTCACTCAATTTCCGAGGGTTGGTGGTGCGAATGCCTGCATGCCTCTTTCGTGTTTTTACAAGGATGCGATAGGATGCGGAAGTCGTTGGAGTTTGCTCAGCATTGTGAGCCACTGTGAAATGGCGTCTGCCTTAAATGCTCCCAAGAGAATGGAGATTGTGCATTCATTGTGTGCTGACTGAATCCAAAACGGGGGTAATAATATATCTGTAAAGTACTTAGAGACATCTTTGATGTCTTCAACGTTTTATAAAGCCAGATTACTAATAATTATTAGTGTTGTTATCATCATCATCATCATCATCACTATCTTTAATATAAGTATTTTCATCATTATCTTAATAAACAGCAAAGTCCTGGGCCCCGTTGCATAAGATTTACCATTGATGGTAACTTTGCCCTCAATGACAACTACCATGGTAACTGGGCTCAACAGCCAATCGGAACCAAGGTTTCCATGGTAGTTACCATTGATGGCAAAGTTACCATCAATGGTTAGTTTTGTGCAACGGGGCCCAGGTTTTTTTCGTGTGATCCGGAATTTCAGTATTGGTGCTAAATATCTACGATTGTTAAATTATCTTACGCAAATACACAGAACGCGGTGAGCACCAGAACAGCCAAGATGATCACGCCGGAAGCGATACCGATCCATCGACCTGTATGGTTCATTGCTGATTCTTGAAAAAAGAGCAAATTTATATGGAAAAATAAGAAATGATTTCTGACTCAATTTCGCTAAAAAACTTATTCACATGGAAATGTGTAAAGGGACCGGACTGCAAATATGTGGCCTGATAGTTTATCCAGATTCTTTTTCAGATAGCTCTGGTCACATTTTGAATATGATAGCGACTGAAGACCATTCATTATCAGGTTAAATGATACTTTAAACTTGCATGCAAAAAATGAACAGTAATGCGAATGAATGATTTGTCAGTTTTACCAGATCTCAACTATCCGATAATTTGTGTCACGTGAGATCACCAAAAAAATCACCATTTTGTAAAGATTACAATGATATCTTACGCCTTACTTATGTCCTCAAGATTTGTCTTGGGACAGATTTCGTCCAAGAAAGCAATTAGTAAAATTGATTTCGTAACAAATTTAGTTTGATGATAGTGCAACACTTGGAGCCCAATAATCGTCATCAATTTTCCTTCTTCTTCTTTGTCTTCTTCTTCTTCTGCTCTATTCTTTATCTTCTTTCTTTCTTCTCACTTTCACTGATCAGTATGATTCTTTTCTGTTTTAAAGATCGACTTTTCAAATCATGTCGATGAAATCTTTTGCTAGGGAATGAATATTCACTGGGGATAAAATCATTCTGTCTCCAAAGTTACGAATATCTTTGGATGGAGGTAGACTCCTCTTTACGAAAGCTTAATCGTGCAGCAAAAATACGACTAGTCTTGTTTAATTCGCCAAAGCGCCAAGTTTAAGACGAGAAGGCGACTTGCTAAAAAGTAAAACTCGCTAACTGTTCGCCTTCTTTATTTAAAGTAAATACGACGACTTTTTTAATTAAAAAAAAACATTTGAAAAAAGGCGAGAAGATGAGTTTTACTTTGAACCAAGGAACCTTTTTTATGTAAAGATGACGAGAAGGCGACTTGAAGAGTAATAAACAGGCATCTTCTCGCCTTCCCGTCGTGAAGGACCGGTGTGTTGGTTCAGAGCGTCCGCCTCACAACCGGGAGGTCGTGTGTTCGAACCCCGGCCGCGTCATACCAAATGACGTTAAAAGACGGGAATTGCTACTACCTTGTTTGGCGTTCAACAATAAGTGATAGAGCAACGTCAATCTGGCGCTGCTTAGTGGCTGCTGGGCTCACGATCAAATGGGCAAAACAAAAATCAATTTTCGGTTTAACTTAATAAAACTTGGAGCGGACTTTAAAAGATTATTATTAGTAGCAGTATTACAAGGCTCCTTGTCGTCTTCACGTTGCACGTTTAAGCTTCCATACATACCAAACTAGAACATACTCACCTGGGCACTTCAGATCCTCTGTAGCATCCCAGTACCCCGAAGAAGCATTACATATCCAAGTCGTGCTTGCATTCCCATTGTTATTGCATGTGATGGTGATTCGCTCACCAGGAGTGTAGAGATTTTTGGGATCTTCGATGTGACTATCTTCAGATTCAATCGGTAAGGCGCATGTGATAGCTGTGTAGGACGTATTGAAGTATGAATTTAATGTAATCTTCTACGATTTTGGGTGGAATACTGGAACAGTCGGTTGTAGTAACATTTCGCTGGTGTTTCGAAATTAGGTAGCATAGACCTAGTTTATTTTATTGCAATTGACTTTAAGAAAGAGTATCATTTTAAGGACGAACAGTCTTTACCCTATTATATACACTGACTGTGTATCTGCAAAAGGCAGTGAATAAGATTTTCTTCTTCTTCTTCTTTTTCCTCATCATCTTCTTCATCATCTTCTTCTTTCGCTTCCTGTTTGATAATAATCGTACTTGTAACTTGATGGACAGATTTTTAACATGTTTAATTACCTGTGTTGCAGTCTTTACCAGTGAATCCAGTCACACAATCGCACTCATAGTTAGATACACCTAACGGATGGCATGTTCCGAACGAGCAAGGCTCAGCAGAACATGAGTCAACTGAAAGATAATTGCCAGAGTTTATTATTATTCTTGAGTCAAAGTACGACATATTTGCATGCAGGAACCAGTTTCCTTCTTCGCCCAGGCATGACTTTTCTTTTGTTTTTCTGATAACATTTCATTTATATACCTTTTAACAATTTGCCTGGCAATTAAATAAATCAAAATAAAAGTCAATACAAAAATGCTTGGTATTTTTATGTAAAAGGAGAAGGGGCTACTTTCATCTCATTCTTATACTTTTTCTCCTTCTCATCCTTCGCATTTTCCAAAGAAAATTTTAGTATTTTTTTCTTAATTGAATGATATTCTCACCTACGACGTGGAATCCGGAGGGTTGAGCAATGAAGCTGACAGATGAGTACAGACCAGGCCATGTTTGATTGTCAGGCTCCTCTACCCCTACTCCCTTTAGCACCCAATCGCTCCACATCACCGTACTCTTGTACACTATCACACCAAACGGATGAAAGGCACCGTGGGTACTATCAAGGAGAATCTTCCTCCCACCACCATCAAGGTCGCAGGATTCAATCTTGTCGAGAAGAGCATCACACCAAATCAACCGATTCCCTATTTCAAAGAAAAGGGGGAACATGCATTGTTGCCTATGAAGTTGAAATAATATTTAATTATCATAATATTTAATTTTTATATAGCGCTTAATACAAATGTCTCTAAGCGCTTTACAAATATACTATTACCCCGGTCATTGGATTCAGTGCTTGTCCGCACACACTGTGTGCACAATCTCCACTCCCTGGGGAGCATTCCAGCCAGGCGTTACTTGACGCTCAAAACCTGTTTGACCAACAATGACGGCCGCATCCTATCGGGAAACCCATTTAACACCTGGGTGGAGAGTAGCAAGTGCAGGTTAATAGATTGCCATAGGATATTAGTGCCGTGTTGAGATTCGAACACTCAACCTTCACATCTCCAGTCGTGCGCTTTAAACCACTCGACCAATGATTTTATTCTTGATAAATATAGTTCATACCTTCTTAGAAATATATTTGATCAAGGTGTGACGTGGTCGAGTGGCTATGTCGATGGACTGTGGATCACAAGGTCCGCGGTTCAAGTCCCGCCGCGGCACTAATGTCCTTTGGCAAGACATTGAACTACATTTGCCACTGTCCACCCAGGTATTAACTGTGTACGTACCCGGTAGGATGCAAAACTAATGTGGTTAGATGAGCAAGTGTTCGCTTGTAAAAATGACGCCTGGCAGGAATGCTCCCCAGGGAGTGGAGAATGTGCATACATCCGATGACCGGGGTTATACTATATATTTGTAGAGCGCTTTGAGAGGCCCTGCTGTCCTTTAATGCGCGATATAAGAACGAACTATTATTATTACTATAGATTGATCAATAACGTTCTGAAAAGATTTTTTTTTAAATCTATAATACCTATAATCAAATAGTCACAAACCTTTTTAGGTGGTCTGTCGTAGACAGATCACCTATTGATTTCGTCAGAATTTTCTTTCTTTATTATTTATTTATTTATTAGGTGGTCTGTTGAAAACAGATCACCTATTGTTTTTGTCAGAATTTTCTTTCTTCTTTATTATTTATTTATTTATTCTTTATTTTTATTTCTCCCCCTTTTTTGTTCAGAGGATAACTGAAGATCAGTTTAATCAATTTATTTTCATTTTGGCACATTCATAGGTCGTTGTCATGAGACGTGACAGAAACATTTTCAAGGTCATTAGGTTATCGTGACGTCATCCAGGCGCCATTTTGTGAAATCACGTTATCCATCATATCTTCATGATGCATAAGCAAAGGTCATTCATATTCATATCACATATACTTTAGGTCAAGGGTCAACAGGTCATGTCATCAAAAGTCACATAAAGGTCATGACGCGCGCGTACGTGTGCGTCAAAATTTCAAAAAGCTCAAAATCACTTAACTATTAAACGAGAGTACGAATCAGGTAATTTTAAGCATTTCAAAATTTTCCGTCCGTACGTGACCCCGCGCGCGTTGCGCGCGATCACAGCGCGCGGAAAAAGTCAAATTCAAATTTGTTACATGATTTAGATTCCTCTTACCGTAAATGACTATTTACATTAATTTCAGTCACCCTTGACCTTTAATAAGGCCGTGAGCGCGCGTCAAAGTTCAAAATCCGCGCGTGCTGCTATGGGCAATATAATGCAAATTTGATCAAAAACATGACATTTTAAAAATCAAAATAGCTCTTCAGATAGTCCATTGACCCCAACTTTTATATCATGGTTAGAAAAAACATGAGTTGGAAATATGATTTCATGTCTCATTTGACCCTCAATGAACTCATGACGTCATCATAATGGCCTCTGAACTCAAAATTTCTATTTGCTTATTATGACGCCAGCATATTTTTAGAACATTGATTGTATCTCTGTAAATATTGATCAATTTTCCTCCGAATTTGGATATGTTCTAGCTGAGACAATTTTCTACGAGTGCAGCTGACACAATTTTTCATTTTGACAAAGGCATCATGGCGTATTTTTGCGATTAAAGGAGGCATGTCAATTTTTCACATTTTGCGTGTATTCTTTATAGGAAATGACTTTTTCTCAAAACTGGATTCTACATTCCCGTCTTTCGCGAGCAAAATCATCATGATCATCATTGTTTATATGTCTATATAATTTCTCCCATTCTCAATTCTATCATAAGAAGTGAAGACAAACCACCTAATTCGTCCCCATGACGAATTAAATTTCTAGTTATTTTTAATTCCATATAAGGAGGGATAATATAACTTGTACGTGAGACTTTATTTCTAGATTCATTAATGATTCCATGAAGCCTTAGGCCAAGCATGGAAACCAGTCGCAGACAATATTTAAAAACCGAGTACAGGCAGATTTTTGAAAACGGCGGATAACGCGCCATGATTATATTGCCCTTATTGTTTAGTGCGTGGCGCTTAGGGCATTTCAGAATCTTCCATATGATAGTCAACCTGCTGTTTAAATACATTATACAGATTTTTAAAACATTTGAAGTTTATGGCTATGCTTGTCATTTAGAAGGTATCTTTTCATGACTAATCAATAATAACACACATTGACACATAAGACTCTTTTCTAATTTGTGGGCTTGCAGTTCTTGTTATATGTTCAGCTAAGAGTTATTTAAGATTTTGATACTACCACTGATAATCAGTTATGGTAATTAAACCGTGTCAACGAGTTTTAGACTACCTTGCATATCGTAAGTGATACCGTTTGGCCATCCGATGTCTGTATCCAGAATCATCTGACGTCCAGAACCATCCCGATTAGACATCTCAATCTTGGGTGTACTCCCCCAGTCCGTCCAATAGAGCTTCCTGTATTAAAAGGTAATCCAGCCTTTGTAATGAGTTCATGGTATGAACGCAGAGAAACTCAAAGAAACTCAATGTGAAAGACTTGAAATAAATTGGACCGATTAATAAAAAAGTTATGATTTTTAAATTATTAGAATACTTATAATAATTATATGCCAATCTCAATTCGGTTAGTTGATTATGATGCACGGCCAATAAGCATTCCGTTATTGCTGAAATTACTGAAATTGCTGAAATCGGTACATACAAAATAATATTATTATACAGATCTGCTATTGAAAAAAGTTCCTTCTAAGTATTTCATTTTTTTAGATTGACATTTTTGCCACTTTGTGTATGATGGAACAACTGGAAACATATACTACGTTGCCTGGATCTTACTCGTTTAACCATTTTTGATTCTCCATACGAATAGAGTTTTTTTCTTTTTTTTTAAATCAAAACTTTCTTATTTTAAAAAAAATGATCCATGAAATTAAAGGACGAAATATACCAGCAAAAAAAGGCTTCCGCTTCTCTTCTTTTGCCCCTGCCCCCCCCCCCGCTCTCTTTTCCTCCAAGACATTCATTTTTCTCTTTGGCATATCTTTTCTTAATTAAGTAATATTGATCAAATACTTTCCAACATGGAAAAAGCGAAAAATATTAGACGATGTCAAACCTGTTTTCTGGAACAATCATAATTGCCCTCGGCATATCTACATCGTTTATCAATACTCGCTGGTTCGATCCGTCAAACTGGATGGATTCGATGGTTTTGAAGTCCGTATCTGTCCAGAAAATAGTTTCGTTGTCGCTATCCACGAAAAGACCGTCAGGAACTGCGTTAAATTTGAAGGAGAATTTTAAATTTAGAACAATCCCCCCCCCCCTCACAAAAAAATAAATATATATATGTAAAAATATGAAGAAAAAAATTATGGAAAAAAAATCCAATATCTACCATGATTATTTACTTTTGTTTTTGTTCAAGTAGGATCATTTGTTGAAGAATGTAATCATAAACACACCACACGAACAGACACACACGCACACATTTTATATGTACACGTGAATCACTAAACTTGCGGTGGAGTAGGTACTTGAGCCCCTTAAAGGTATTGCAAATTTTTGGGAGATTTTGAAAATTGGAGTGATAGCAATTCTTTAAAATATCGATATATTTTGATGCCCCTGTGGATGTATTATAAGTACTAGAAAATTTAGCCCTAAAACACTTCGGCTTTCGAGAAAATGAATAATCCATAATTTACCGGTGCCCCCGCTTTATCTTAAATATTTCAAATAGCGCCCAAGGCCATTCCATAATAGCTGCAACCATGAAAATCTCAGAGTTCTGATATGCAATTTCCAAACGAGAATAGCAAATCTGTCGATTGTAGTAGAAAACAAAAATTGTTTTGAAGCTTAAGTATTAAATATCAGTCTTAGGAGGACGTTCTGCAACATAAAGATATTATTATTTACAATTTCATCACTTTAGACTCGATTTCAGCCGCGACAACGATTATTGAATATTGTAAAATCGCATATGCTTCTAACATGTTCATATGAACCAAATTCATGACTCCATACCAAAACTTTGTATTACCCTCTATAACCGATATATTGCTTAAACGTTAGAAACACAAACCTCCAAGCCCTTGAACAACTATTCTTTGATTGGACCCATCGATTTGAGCAGCACTTAACGTCTTTCTCTCCACGTCTGTCCAATACACTTCCTTTGCTATGACGTCATACCCCACTGCAACTGGCTTTTGTACAAAGAGAAACGGGAGCTGCCTGAAATTCAGATTGTTCGTGTGTGCAACATAAATTGCACCTCCACTTAGGTCTGTCAGAAACATCAGAGAATCTGCCAAGAAGTAGAAAAGGTTACGCATGAAAGGTCAGTTCGAATAGTTACGGAATGACATTTAAATAACCAATGTTAATTTTAAACTTTTAATTTTGAATAAATTTTACCAGGTCAACCAAAGTTTCCTTTAAACATATTGGAGTCTTCGACACCAGGTCACCCAAAGTTTCCTTTAAACATACTGGATTCTTCGACTGGATCGCAGTTCGTTTCATCCGACTGATAGAGGCATTATATTTTATTGTTTTTATTGTTTTATTTAATTTCTAACCATAATTTATTTTGATATATTTTGATCCTAAAAAAACACCTAAACATATTGGAGTCTTCGACACCAGGTCACCCAAAGTTTCCTTTAAACATACTGGAGTCTTCGACTGGATCGCAGTTCGTTTCATCCGACTGATAGAGGCATTATATTTTATTGTTTTTATTGTTTTATTTAATTTCTAACCATAATTTATTTTGATATATTTTGATCCTAAAAAACACCTAAACATATTGGAGTCTTCGACACCAGGTCACCCAAAGTTTCATTTAAACATACTGGAGTCTTCGACTGGATCGCAGTTCGTTTCATCCGACTGATAGAGGCATTATATATATTTTTTTTTTTATTGTTTTATTTAATTTCTAACTATAATTTATTTTGATATATTTTGATCCTAAAAAAACACCTAAACTATAAACAAGGCAAAATAACCAATGTTAATTTTCAACTTTTAATTTTGAATAAATGTTACCACGTCACCCAAAGTTTCCTTCAAACATACCGGATTCTTCGGCTGGATCGCAGTTCGTTTCATCCGACTGATCGAGGCAGTCAACAAGGCCGTCACATTGCCATGCTGAAGGGATGCAAAGATCTCCGCATGTAACTTCATCTGTAAGACACTTCTCTTCGGGTCTCTTTGAGTGAGATTGGCCTAAGAAATAGAGTAAATAAGACCAAATAACTGAAACCCAACTTCCAAAACACTCTTCCTCACATTCTAGAGGGGAAATGGAGTTGTCAATATTCTGTTGTTGGGGAGTAATTTTAGTAACCAAATCTTAATTTTTACCTTAAATAATAAAGCTTTAATGTTGTGATATGTATATGTATATAATTATATATATAAGTAAGTTTAGTAAAACTGTAATTTCTGACAGTGCTCAACTGTAGGAGCAAATGTAGATATAGGAGGTGTAACCTAACCAACTCCTATATCTATATACGTATATATAAAGCAAGAATGAATTGTGTTCACTCATCAAGCCTCCCCCTCCCCCCCCCCCCCCCAATCCTTTATAAACCATATGAAGGGCCAGATTTGGAAAAGGGGAGACTGGCTCAGAATTTTCATCTATATTACCATGATAAACATGAATTCCTGTGGGGTTTTCAAAATGAAGAATGTTGGCCGAAGCAGGCGAAACACCCCTGTGACCGTGAAGAAAGGTAACACCTCTTGTAGCGGAATCTGTCCACAGGGGTATTCCCCTGTACCAGGCGATATCAACTGGTAACGTGCGTTCCGTTCTGAAAAGAGTCACCTGGTCCCCTCCAAGTGGACCAAAAGACTCGATCGTTCCCTTTTGGTCATCAAAGATAAAAAGGCGCGTTCCTGGATGTTACGTTTTTAAATTAGAAAAAAAGAATGGAAACAAAAGGAGAAAGAAAAAAACAATATTAAGACAATTAAGTACTGAGGTTTATCGAGAGTAAATCAAATAAAGTATCTGATTTCGTTGAGGCACAAGTCTCCTAAATTTCAGACAAGTAAAAGTTATACAATCTCTCAACTCGGATACGCACTAAATGTGATCGAACTCCTGCAAAAAAAATTAACCCCCCCCCCTCCCCCCCCCCCCCCAAAAAAAAAATTAATAAACTTCCGTTGATCATATTATTAGCATAAGCCAAATGACATGATATGTACTCACTCGAATAGGTGTATGTTGATACGAAAACAATAAACGGAGAGACTCCATGCATACGTACCTATTTTTATGCTGCACAATTGTGTTTATCGAACTAGAAATAACCATTAAACATAACGTTCTTGGATTCTAAAAACGAATGGTAACTCTGAAAGGTTAACCCTATATAGCCTGGGCTATTTTGAAACTGCATAGCCCGGGGGGGGGGGGGGAGGCTTCTAAATTTTGAAAAAACAAAACCGGATCTTATGGCAGAAATTTCTATCATAATAAATAATTTCTTTAATGAGACATACAATATGGAGAGCTCTACTTCTCTTCTTCATGTGATACACAACTTCTGTCATGAAATTCGGTTTCGTTTTTTTTTTCTGGGACACACTGTACAGCACATCCTTACCTTCCCTGTCGAGTGCAAGACTCCTTGCAGACGTAAGCCCAGTCATTACGTTTGTCGCCATGGGGTAAAAACTGTTGTATAGAGTGTGGATATCTGCTTTTGATGGTGTGTTGTCGATCACATAGAAGTTCCTGTGTAGATAAATGAATTCGTATTGGAACATTTTGATAAAAATCAACAGTAACTGGTGTGTAATTATGCAAATCGAGGTCTAAGGACGGTCAATGAATAACTCGTCGGCCTTAGGCCAAAAGGGCCTTAACTGCTTTTGGCCATTCCGAGATAATCGCGTATGAAGTTTTGGCCTCTCTAATAATCAAAAGTTTATGGTCGTTTTTTTTCTTCTGAAGTCAATTTCGATAAATATGTTGAGTTATTAAGTTTTACATGAAATGTGTTAAATTTGTTTTAAAATATGCAGAAGTTTTCATGCTTTGTGCAAAAAACATGTTAGGGCCTTTTTGGCACATGGCTTGAGAGTAGCGTATTTATGCCAGAAGGGCCGTAACCTACGCGGCATTATGCCAAAAGGGCCGTAACCGCCTGCGTACCCCACTGCGGTTATCGCACGCGCGCGTAGTTAGCGCCCTTCTGGCATAAAGATTTTTTCTTGTTTCGCAACACCATCAGTTTGCCTAAAAGCCCCTCCTACGACTACTGGATCACGAAAACTGATAAAACTGATTAATTACAATTTTAGAAAAGGTATTTTTGATATCTGAATATTTTTATTAATATAATGCAGCTTACGGTGAAGTTATTTTTTAGGGATCGTACATTTAGGAAACCTTTTTCGTTGTTTATTTTTCATTACAGTCCCATCCGTTGACATCTGCGTATTTCATGAGTCAGTTGCATTTCATGCATTCACATCTGAACTTAAATCTCACTCAGAATTCATGATCTAAATTCATGACATATACTTTCAGTGATTATTCCAAGTACATTGTGTCTATTGTAGACTAATCATGTTTTAATGGTGTTTCTACTGATATCTATTGAAATAAATGGAAATTACGAATTAATCTGTCATTGACAAACAATTTGCCTTGTAGGTTAAGGCCCTTTTGGCGTAAGGAAAAAGATGAGATACGCGTTAAGGGCCTTTTGAAATTCGTAATTATCTTCATAAATAAATCAAATTACAACAAGTGAAGCACATCATTTTAAAGAGAATGATAAAACCTACAAGGTGATGTTAATAACTCAATAACCCCCAAAAACGGGTTAAGGCCCTTTTGGCATAAGGCCGACGAACTATTTTGTTGATCCAGATATGTCACTCTCTTGCGCATCCAATTTTGAAATTGATTTTTGTAGTTTTTGTTGGTAGGTCGATGATCGCAAGCTGGATTATCCTGACTTTGGTGTCATACAAAAACTAACAAATATCTACAATGAATAAAGATACAGTCAGTTAATGTATTTGATTAGATATAACTTGTTTATTTTCGATATGTTGTTGTTGTTAAATTAAATGTTTGTTGCCGTTTTCTTCTTTACCTTTCCTTCGAGAAGCATTATTGGACCGTCGCATAGTTTTTTTTTTTATCATAGGCTGGTAAAGATTCTTCGTAAAAAGATGAACATTAATTACAGTACATCTTACATGATCCAAACATGATTTTTGTTTAATTACCCATTTGGATGAGCCGCTACTGTAGAAAAGTTTTTACCGGCAAAAGTGTTGCCTTGAAGACCAGACGAGTAGTCAAACAATCCTGATAGATTTCTATGCGCATTGATCCAGGCGATCTTTTTCGATGGAACGTGAATTGTCAGATCAATAACATCTATTTTGAAAGAAATATAGGTAAGAATGGCAAATATGTAACTCACGATGACTAACTTCATTCCATGGGCTCTAGGCGTCGGGTCGAGTTGTCCGTTTACTCGAAATTTCGCAGAAAACATACACCTTTATTTACGAAAGGTCGACGCGTCACTTCGTTTGGTTACACGGACTTTTGTGAAAAAGTGCCCCCATTTTCACGAAAGGTCGGGTAAACTGAGTGCTACTAATCGCATTTCTTTTTTTGGTGAAAAATCTATGGTACTTGAGATAAGGCTTACCCGTCTACATGTATGTTGTGAAAACGAACCCATGAAACGATGATGTTTCGATCGCTAGTATATTAATGAAATATTGTGATTATTTATCTCGTAAACAAACTATATAAAAGATAAATAAAAAAGTGTCAGATCAAAATGATAGTTTCCGTAGGTTTCCTGTAGGTTTTTATTTTTTGATAAATAGGATGTATTTCACAAAAGTTACACCTGATCCTGTGAGGGAAAATAGTGCTCGATTATTGTGTAACCCGGCAAACCGACCCGACGAGAGGACCCGATTGAGCTTATTAATGTTATTAATTTGTCTGGGTCTCTTGAATATTCCTAAAAGTTGGCTTATTCGTTTAAACTATCACGAGCGATAAGGAATGGAATATTTAGTCGAAGTTAATTTACTAAATATTGTTAAATCTTTGTCATGTTAAACCACACACGATCAAAATGGGTTCAGGTATTTACAAACTCAATTCAATCATATTTTGTGGATCCATGGGAGCTAAGGGGTCACCATGGGAGGCAAACAAAAAAGAGAAAAATAATATATAGTGGTAATGAAATCCCCCACGACCACACTCGGCTTGTCAGAAGGCCGTCAACAACTATAGGAGGTGATATTGGATAACATGTTT